TAAGTGCGATCGTGGGCGGACAGGGGCATTGGCGAACCCAGCAGGAGGCAGCACGGCAAAAAGGGCACCAGAGCAAGCGCCGAAGGGTCAGCAACGGCACTGTAAACGTTAGCTGCTTCTCTTGCTCGGGTGCGACGTACCGACTGATGCCACCCGCATATCCACAGTTTCATGATCAGTTTGATGGTGGCGTGGACTTGGGTCGTGCTTCTGTCGGCGAGCGGCTAGGTTCAAGTCACAATGAATTGGCCAGTCACAGCCCGCGCAGTGTAGAACCCTCGACTTCCCTAGCTTGCTAAACCGTCAGTACGCACCTCTGGCATGAGGGTGCTGATGAACGGTATAGGAAAAATTGCGTTGGTTCACCCCAACGCAATAGGCTTCCTTGCGCCATACAATGCAGGATCACACTGAGGTACTCGACTTCTCGGTATAACTTCCGATCAGTATGGTATGTATCGTACTTTCCGATGGGGTGCGTCACGGCATTCCCGACCACCCCGACCACCCCTGCAACCTGCCCCCTCCACTACCACCCCCAACAACCCCTCCCAGCCGCCCCACCGCCCCCCCCCCAGTGGCGGTAGGAGGGGTGTGAAGGCTTGGGGTGACAGTGTCACCGACCTCGAGCTCGAGAGCCGTCGAGAGCCAAACCTGGGGAACCCTGCGGAGCTAGGAAGATGCGAAGCCACGTCGAAAAGCTTCCAGGAATGTCTGAGAGATCTGATCATTCCCCATGTGTGGCATTCAGAATGCAGAGCGGATGTTGCCGGACCACGACGTCCCTGGGATCTGAACCCAAACCCCTTAATCAACTAACACATTTATGCAGTCAAACACACATAAAGCCAGCACGAAAGCCCAGGATCGTGAGGGCCAAGCTTCAATACTTTGAGACCACCTACTATTTTTCCGGTCTCTTGGTGGCAGTGTGGCCAGGAAGGGATCCTGAACTAATTCTAGGATGCTTGCAAGACCAAAGGACGTATTGCAAAGTCGCTACAGTCAGGAAGCCTTGCAGCACCATGCAAATTAGCACCCAGTAACTTACGCTAGTCACAGTTTAAAACTTCGACTTGCGAGACAGCTGTTGCAGAACATGTCTTGTCTGTTGGCCACTAGGCGGATCTCTTGGTGTAATTCAGCATCTGCAGGCTGCGGCTTCACACTTCCTTCTAAGTTCTCGTAGATCTTCGGTGCATGATGCAAGCTTGCAGTTGGTGTTTCTCCATGCGGGCGGTTTGTAAGAGTGGTGATCCTTGTTCGGGGGACCTTGCTTTAGGCTTGCAGAGGCCACGCCGCACGTGTAAAAGCTACAGAGGCTCCGATCCTGCGCTGACGAGGGCGCGCCTCGAAGCGCTTCGGGCCACGCTAGAGGAGGAGTTACTGCCCTTTCTGCATCCAGGCATCGAGAGTGGATGGTAGGTACAGAAAGTAGCTTCGATAGGGGCGAGACACGCAAAGTGGGGTCCAAAGGTGTGATGACGTGTGATCAATGAAGGAACTTGGCAGTATTGGGAAAACCTCTGTGGCAAGAAGCCAGAACAGGCACATGAATTGTTGAGCAGGCAGGCTATGCTGGTACAAACATTTGTATTTGCCGAGATGTGTCCTTTCCCAAGCCAGTTAAAGCCACCGCAAGAGAGCAACTTCAGCCCACATTGTGCCGAGGTACTCCCAAGACGGGGCTTGGTGGATGGAGCCGCTGGCACGTAAACGTGAGAGACATAGAGAGAATGATGGCAAGGTCGTTACGGATGTGGACAGCGCAAGGGACAACCCCGAGAGAGAGAGAGAGAGAGAGGATTGTCGTGAAGGGCGCGACCTCCGGAGACGCAGCTTCTCCAACCCCAGTTCTCTAGACCAGGATGATCGAAGGCTTTTCTGTAGGGACCGTTGCTGGGGAGCTGGGACCGAGGAAGCTGCTAGGGCCGATGCTGCTGGAAACTCCTGGTAAGTAATATGGCCAGTATGAGCTTGTGTTTGTTGCAAGAGTTCACGTAGTGCTCAGGACCTGTAACTTACCGGAACGACCAGAGTGGCGGCTGTGGTAGGAGGTTCAGGGCTGGGGTGGGAAGGTTGCACGGGGTTCTTGTGCAGGATACGACGGGGAGGCTGGTTAGGTAGGGGTGTGCAGCAGTGTTTCTACCAAAGCCGGGGGAGTGAAACTCACCTGGCAAGCAGGACAGGGGGTCAGAAGCAAAGTCGATGTAAGTTGTGCGTATCCCTGTTTGATGCTCGGACGTTGACCCACCAAAAGTCAACTCTCCTGTAGCAGTACCTGGAAGACTCTTGGATGACCCCTAGTGATGCCTTCAAGGTTTTGCATTGTAGTGGTCTTAGCAGGGGTGTTCTTTGGGGATTGGGTCGACAGGCACACCTGGGGGGAACAAGCATGACTTCAACCCCGGAAGGGGCCTCTCAGACCTGCGCGGACCTTGAGGGGCAGGCCTCCGGGCTTGGGGAGCTAGTCCGCAACCCCCTGGCAAGCAAACAAGCAAGGGAGATTGTCATGCTTGCACTTTGAGGAGCTGGAGTGCATGCACCAGGCGCTATCAAGAGCCGAGGTTTATCCGCATGCTTGAGGCGCAGCATAGGCCGGGGCGACCCCAAGCCTAACACGAGAGCGAGAAAGAAAGAGAGAGAGAGAGAGAGAGAGACAGAGAGAGAGAGAGAGAGAGCGAGAGAACAAAAATAGAAAGGAGAGCAAGACGACTCTAGCGGCGGGCAGTGGTCGCTCCCCTGTTTTGTACCCACAACGTGTTTCGAATTTGCTTGTTGCCACAATCTTCTGTTCTGTGGTTGAAGGTACCTAGACCTAGGGGGCAGACCCTCAGGACAAACACGTCCAGGGCAGATTGGCATGGCAAGTGAGACAGTCCGGGTAACAGCGTAGTCTTGTTGGGTAGTCTAGTTGTAGCGTTGAGGAGGCTTAAAGCAGTCTTGCAAGGGCCGAGTTGTTGCTTTGCAAGCGATTGAAATCATGTGATTCGGCCTTGAACCCGAGACTCTTGCGGCTTCAGCCCCCATCTCTCTTACAAATTTTCTCAGGAAGCCAGCATTACCATCCTTACAAACCCCAGACACAAAGCACCAGAGGTCTCAATTAACCCTGCACCCCGAACCCTGCCAGCCTAAACCTGATATCCTATTGAAAGTTACCCTGGCCGAACTCAGACCCCGTGGCCTGCGATTTGGACTTCAGCCACCAAGCCACACGAGTTGGCATGTGACAAGGGGTCCACTATAGGCTATCGGACACAACGAAGGGGAACATGTGAACAAGACCCGTGCTCAGGCGTTTTTGGTTTTATAGGGAGTGCTCAGACGAGGCCCATTGCGGCACTTCAGAGAACTGGCCGGCGGCTGATATTCCTGCTGCAGGCTTGACGCGCAAAAGTCAAGACGTGCGTAAGACTCACGAGACGAGAGGCAACGCTCAGAACTCGAATTGCGGACGGGCTTCAGCTCTTGATTGCTGCGACCCTACGATGTCTGGCAACCCTTCCCATAACCCTGATCCCCCTAAAACGCTGATCCCCCCAACAAGGGCACACACTGAACAAGACCTTTTTGTAAAGAGCGTAGAGAGCATCGGAGACCTGGTGGAGGCGGATTCTGATCCAGGATGGCTGAAGGAGTGCGGCGCTTGGAGAACGGGAGGAGCCCAAACACCGTGCAGGAGTTCACAGGTTTAGCGGCTTTGTGTTGCTATGCAGGTTACTAGTTGTAAGGGTACTTAGGGTTTTAGGTTTCGTGTTTTCGAAGTTACTCTTGTTGAAAGCATCGCCATTTTGAGCTTGGGGTAGGGGATGTGTCGCGTCCTGTGACGGAATGTCATCTTCCGAGACGCAAAGAGGCTTCAGCTCATCACTTCAACGAAACAAAGTCCCCATAACTTGCCGATAATATAGAAGCTTCCCCGTCAATGCCATGGGCGGAGTGCACGATATGTCCTGAGCATCGCTCTACAAGGGATGCTCTTACAGAATCCAGGTTGGAAGCCAGGGGCAATACACATCTCAAGGCCTTCGGCAAGTGTGAGGCGCAGGGTTGCACGGGTGACCATCAGAAGGCATCCCCATCCAGTACAAGTCACTACGACTAGTGTTGGGCTTGGGTAGGGCCGAGAGTGTTTCAGTACAAAAGGCATTTGGGAGCTAGAGGAATGGCTACCTAACCCAGGTAGCTGCACACGAGAACATCGTGAAGTAAGGTTTTTATCCGAGGGCCTTGAAGCAGGCTGCCCATCTTCAGGCTGGCCCTGCATAAACCTCACAGCAACTCTTTGAATCATGGTCATGGCCGCCATGGCCGGGCCGGAGGCAGAAGCAAAGCCGAAATGCCCAACCGCACTACAGAAATCCTAAACGCACGCCGCCTCCATGCTCAGAAGCCCAAAACCAGCAGCAGGAATGAGTCCTAAATCCTGCCGGTTGGCAGTGTCCCCCTGAGACGGATGACGCCTTGGGGTCCTGCGGCAGTGCTCTTTGGGGACTCTCTCCAGCATTGCTGGTGCATGCAAACAAGCGTAGGCACTACCACGACATGAGTAGACACATTACATGCATAAAGACTTGCAGGAGCATGCCGACATACAGAACTGTATGTTCAGTTTCATTATGAAGGACGGCGAGCTTCCGGTCTGTGGGTATGTGTGCATGGATGTATGCATGGGGGCAGGCGGCATCCATGCATGGACAGGTCGAGACTTGTGTTTTCATGGTTGGTCTTGAAGTTGCTTCATTGTCTCATCCCTCCCTGCTGTTCACGTCGTTGAGGCAAATACTCCAACACCTGTTGCAAAATCTCCAAGCTTGGGAAGAGACAGCGGGACCGCCAGATGGACTATGCCGAAGCAACTTGGCAGCTCGCATTGAGGCCCTTCTGGATTGACAGTCGAAAGATTAGCAGGCTTATTTCTCAAGCTTCAATACAGACATGTTACAGTAATGGGACATGAACTCACATGAGTCTTAAGGGCGCTCAATTTCACCAGATTACGGGGTTCGGAACACGAGAGCGAGCACCGTTTGCACCAAGGACTTCTTGCCCAACCAGTCCTGCGCTGAGGTGCGTACAACTTGTGGGGAGGATTGCTTCTGGTCTCCGAGAATGAGAGCATAAGACTTCGTTAGCTGCGCCAAGTTTGCAACATAGTTTGCACGTCGAACACGCTCAAGACCCTCACAGGTTTGTTTCGAGTTGACGAAGATGTGATTCCAGGCTCGGCGATCCAACGGAACGCGGCCCATGCTCCAGCTGTACTGGACAATGACCTTCGATCGGAGTTATGGCTGTGCCCGTCTCATAGAAATCATAGGGAACCTTAGGGGAGCCTTAGTAATATCAGAACCCAATACGACCTATTTAAGGAAGTATAGTCCCCTACCGCTACCCCTCTACCCCCTACCCCCCCTAAGTGTCCCTATGAAGGAAGCTATGTGGAAGTCTAGCCGCTTTCTGGTGTATCTCCCGCTTTGCGGCACTCGGGCTTGGGCCTGTTACTGTTATTCGGGCTCAGGGCATGGAGACTTCAGTCAGGTTTGGTTCGCCATGTGGGGCTGGGCATCCGGGAGGTCCAGCAAGTTTGTTCGTTTGCCTGCTGGCTTGTGAAGAGGCTTCAGTGCATGATCGCGCATGCATTTCTGGGGGGCGTTGGTGTATGCAGGTTCGCTCTCAGGATAATGTTGGATTAGGGCATAGGCCGTAAGGGGTGAGTTTGTAGACTGCGCGCCTCGATGATCACCAGCATGTCAAGGACCTTCAAAGTCTCTGGGAGCATGACCGACGATGCTTGCCAGCAGCTCCAGACTAGATCTTCGCACAACGCCTTAGTGACGCGTCCGGTTATGAAGTTCTCAGCCGCATGATAAATAATTCAATAATCCAGTACACATGCAGAAAATGTATATATACATACACATATATATATAATGTGTATATATATATAGATCCATGCACACATACACGCACACACACACAGAGAGATATATATATATAGGTGTGTGTGTTCATATTTATATTTAAACGTATATTTGCGTGTATATATATATATATACATACAAATACATACATATATATATATACACATCTGTACAGGCACATATATGTACACTATATGTAAAGTCCTCGTATGTGTTTCGTCTCCAAAAAAGCAGCATCTAGCGGTAGACGTTCGCCGGCACTGAGACGAAGGCATTGGAAATTGCAAGGAGCTGGGTCTTGCTAATGAGGGCCTTCACTATCCTTGCTAAGGAGGGCCGCGCTATCCTTCACCTTGAGCCAGAGCCCGACCAAACGGGTACGTCCCGTACTTCCCAAGGACAACGGGCTTTCGGTCCTAAGCCTCGAAGAAGCTGCAGCGATTGCCGACAAGCATTTGCAGCAGTTCTTCCAGGAGTTTCGGCATTTGTGTCGCTGTCAACATTGCGAGACGTTACGCATGAAAACTGCCATCGATCATTTCCAGACCCTTGCGGACAGTTCTGTGCCGAATGAATTCTGTAGTCTGTAGTGAATTCCGGTTCAGTGGGGGTTCGGTGGGTGGTGGCTTTCATTGTGGGGGTCAGCCGGGGTCAGCCGTGTGTCCGAATTTTAGCTGCGTTGTTTGTTTCGAAGAGTTGTCGTGGATCCTTGCCTGGCTTAGAGGCTTAGCGAGAGTCAAAATGCCTGAAATACCTGCAAGCATCGTGTCGTCGCTTGAAATGTGCCTTGAACCATACACTGAACAGGAGTCACATGACATGCCGGTTTTTGCCAATGTCCTCATGGGCGACAGGTGGGTTTGCCGTGATCATCCCGGGCTAGTTCAGTGTTCTGCTTGTTTGAGTGTCCTCATGGAGTCCTCATGTGAAGTCGGCTGGGTCGGGTTTGTACAGCGTTCAGTTTCTCAGCCCCTTCTGTTAGGAGACTACTGCGAGAGGTCTCAAGCAGTCGCTGTATGCATTGCTGTCTGAATATGACTGATTACTATTGGTTGTGCTGGTGCTCGGCACTACTTTCAAGTTGCAGTGCTAACACAAGAAAACTTTGAGTGGGTCCAAAAAATCAGCCAATTAGCCAATCAAGCAAGCAAACACTCACGCACTCAGCCAACCCAACCAAGCAAGCAAGCAACCAAGCAACCAATCAGTAGTACTATAGTACTAGTACCGAAAGACTACTGATCAGTGAAATTTACCATCAAGCCGACCCCAGCCATTTGATTGCAGACGAGGACTGGCCGGAAATTACTCAGCGTCGGGTCCAGAGTTTGAGTATGCTATTAAAAGCCAGTGCAACGTTAGTTTCACCGGACATCCTCAGGGATTTCACGCAAATCTAGGTGTCACTAAGATTCTAGGCCTCAGCACCCCTCGTCTAACTGAGCCCCTGTAGGATGAGACAGTTGCTTTGGCCCCTAGGTTAGGGAGCCTACTGGTATTACCAAACGAATACTGCACTCTTGGACGCCAGGCCCATGACAGGAATTACGGATCTACACGCTGAAACTGTCGG